CCATGGGAAAATACTGTTGTTTCCAATTCTTTAGAAAAAAAAAGAACATGATAGGATCGGACTTTGAAAGTTGGACAGTCGAAGAAACCAGAAGGAACTAAAAATTACATTTAAAGGAGAACATTTAAATGTGAATGGAGCAAAATACTTGAACATTGGATTTAGTGAGGGATATTTGTGAAAAAAGGACTGCAATTACATATAAACTGTGTTTAGAAGATATTATGGAATGGGAACAGGTTGTACCAGACAACACTGAGACTGATCTGATTTACAAATGATTGGCTAGAAGAATGATATGAAAAAGATTGCTACACTGGCTACCAAAAGAGACTTATTAAATTTTGGAAGAATTTTTTGAGAAATTGTGAATGATCAGTGCAAGGAGTTACAAAGGTACCAAACCGGAAGAAACAAGTAGCTGGAATGACAATGATAATGATTCTATGCACCACCATGATTTTCTGAAAACACTCTTTAATATATTTAATATATTTTCCAACAGAGTTCCAGCAGAGTTTTCCCTCATGTGCTAAAGCAGGCAAGTCCAACCCATGGCCTGCTGGCAGCATGTGACCCTGGACAGCTGGTAACGCCATCCCACAAAATAACAAACTTCTTTTTTTATTATTTATATACATTAATTATATTATATATTTTATATGTGGCCCAAAACAATTTCTCTTCACTCAATGTAGCCCGGGCAAGCCAGAAGTTTGAACCATCATGTGCTGAAGGGAAGTGGTATTCCAAAGTTCAGTGGGTTCCATCTCACCATTATTCCCTGGAAAACCCAATTCAGACAAACTTTCAATGTATTTTCCCTTAACATTGCTTTAATATTTTCAGATTTAATATAATTTCCCATGAAATGATTTTGATCTTTATAGCAAGAATTAACACCTCAGTTGTACAGCTTATTCCTTGCATGCATAATGTTCTAGTTTCCGTGCTGATAACTCCAACTAAAAATGAATTGGCAGACCCCTGTTTGAAGCCTCCTCTGCAAAAGTATGTCTAGATGGAATAATAATATCTCTCAATGCAATGTGATCATCAAGATTCTGTTATCAGCGTACCTTGGAACATATATTTGAACAAGTTTATAAAGTCATGGAATAGCAAATAACTCAAGAATTTAGTGTGGTGCTAAGAAAATACTTTGTCTTTGCAGCTTTGTAGCTTTCATTTATGACATCAATGTTCAAAGTTTGGAATCCTCTTCACCAAAAGTCTGAGGATAAACTTTCATAATAGGATGTGGACTACAATTAATGAAGCTCTAATAATTAAAAAGCTTATTTTTAATACTCATTTTAACAATATTATGTATTTCAAGAAGCATTTACAAATATACCATAGAGAAAGGTATTACAAAAATGTTTTATTTCCAACAAAATGATGGAAGTTAATAGAAACTTGGTTGTGGCCAATTTTCTTTCCTAAGTCTTCTATTCTCCAGAATGAGGATGGATAATCCATGGATGGGTTTCCTTTTGTCATTCTGCCCAATAGACTAAGTCTGAGAGTTTGCCACGCCTCCTGCTGGGCTAGGCTGACCCAGTTCTGACTTAGTCTTGTACCCAGCAGGACGCATTGGTTCATCCTTAGATCGCAGCAGGTTGTACCATCCGTGAATTATCTATTCTCTCATCCCCTTTTAAAATTCTCTAGGAAGATTGGCATTTCTCTCAAAGAAAAAGCTGAATCTCTCACTTCTATCTCCTTGTCTTTTGAACAGCTGAGAGCTAAACATCGGGCTGAGTTGCAATCTCTAAGGGCAACTCAGCCGAGCCGCAGCTCAGCTGTTCGGCGGGCTTCCTGCGGAGCTCCAGACTGACCGCAGACCAGCTGGGCTTCGGCCCAAAGCTAATTGATGTCTCTGGCCGCCATTTTGAGACCATGAGGCAGCCGCTTTCCCTCAAAAATGGCCGAGTCTTTCCGGAGTGACCTTTTTCTTCTTTCTTGCTTGCATGTTGGTTCACCTGAAATAATGTTTCCTCTCTTTCCTTTTCTCATATAGTTCTTAACTATCCCTTCTTTCAAATATCCTTTATGGAAAGTTGTAGTTTTGTGTGTGCAAATAATCAAAATTGTCTCTATGGGACAAGTAGAAAATCTTCTTAGTAAGTTTTTAATGTCATATTTTATTTGGCATTGAGACAAAACTACATAGTGAGGCTGGCTGAAAATAAAAAGGTGGCAGTGATATTTCTGAAGTAGTAATTCATTAATAAGAGTAGTCATTGAATGTGCTGTTCTTACTCCTAGAAACTTAATGGGACTCCACTAAATTTCTTTACTGGATAACCCTCCCATCTTCCCCTCTGCTTTCATCATTCTTCTTGCTATGGCGTACTTTGTAAAGCAGAGCTCCCCAACCTTTATAGGTTGGTGGCCCAGAGGGAAAACAAGCAGGGAAATTTGTGCATGTGCACTCCTGTGTGCGCATGCACAAATGGGCATGTACACAGTGGTGGCACTAGCACCCCACACATGCACAAATGGGCTGCTAGCGCCTGTACTGTGGCACTAGCGCGAGTGGGGGGGTGCGTCCACATGTGCCTGCATTTGCCAGCCATTCCCGGGACCTAGTGGCCAAGAGGCCATGGCCCTATACTGGCCATGGCCCATACATTGGAGACCCCTGTTGTAAAACAGAATAGAAAAACAGAAACTTTACGTAATTTCTTTTGATTAAAAGGGTAGTACTAACTCAGGGTTTAGATTGAAAGCTAAAGATATTTGTAACATTTGACTTTATTGCTGCAGTTAAGTCCCTGGTGAGATGTCCTCACAACAAGGCCCTTTCAGAAGTTGCTATTAGAGCGGTCAGCAGAATTTTTGAGTGTAGTTTAACCTTTTCTTGTCCACCTCTTTTGGTTAGAAGGTGAAGCTCATCATGCTTTATTCAAAAGCTGGAATTGTTGCTTTCTTCTTAAAAAAAAAACGGATACCAAATTATTTGTGGGATTAGTCATATCATAAAAGTGAATCAGATGTAACTGAGAGCTATTCTTCATTGAAATAGGATTTAGAGTCATAGAAGTTGTTCAAACTTGTAAAAAAAATCCCCACCTATTTCAGTAAAAATAGCCCTTGATGTCTTGCAAACAAGTTTTGTCTACTTTTGTACCATTCAATTTTTCAAGTAATATGTCAAACAAAGTAGCAGAAAATCAGCTTTTTACTCCAAAAGCCAATGGATTTTATGTCACTCCTCTGTAATTTAATCCTTATACCTAGATGCATTTGCGTCAGAAGTTCTCTTTTGCACATAAAATAATTAAGTTCAATTCAAAACAAAGAAAGAAATCAACACTGTGTATGCAATGTTCTAAGTAGCAATAATATCAAAAATTGATGCATATCTCTTGTGGCCAATATTTTCCATATTTTCTAAAACGAATATGCTTCTCATGTTTAGTTAACCTTACAAATAAAGAGAAAAGCAATTTGTGACACTCTTGAAACATTGAAAATAACTTTGATTACACCACTGCAATATTGATGAAGCTCATACAAGGGGACAATTATATCAATACTATTGAATCCTTTAAGGACAGTTCAAATAGTAATTAACAGATAGAGCAAGCAACATTTGGGGGCAATGGGCATCACAAAATGATTTTAGGCAAAATGCCCAGAGATTCGACAGCAAGCTGGGAAATCTATTCGGTGTTTGAGAAACACAGATTTGATTATTTATTTGCTTTTAGAACATTAAAACAAAATTTCTCTATGGAGGAAAAAGTAAATGAGGTAGGTGCAGCTGCATTCTGCTTTGAATCCTTTTGGACCAGATTATTCAGCTGAGCTGAATAAATTCACTGCAGGCTTTTTTGGTTTTAGTATCTCCCATGGATCTGATATTCACTGGCATTCGGTTATATTAGATGCAATTTATTGCTGCTTTAGAATATGAGGCAGGTTAGATGCTCATCATATTTTGCTATAGCTCAAATCTAAAAGATTTTACCTTGGAAATAAATACAATTTAAAATGACTTTTCTGTATAGTTTTCATTTAGGTTTGTCCCAATTCATTTTAATTTAAATAGATTAACCAGCTATGATCCAAGTCGTTCAGTTAAAGCTTTACTTGTCCCAATGAACAATTTTCTGTAGTTAGGGAAACTAAATATCAAGATTTAGACTAACTTTATCTACGGCCCATGAGATTTCTGTGGAAGATGATGTGGCGCTTACTAGTACAGTGTTACTAGCAGCAATGATGAAGATCTACCCCAGTGGTGGCGAACCTATGGCATGCATGCCAGAGGCGGCACTCGGAGACCTCTCTGTGGGCACACATGCCACCACTGCTAGCAGCTTGTGCAGGTCCATTAGGCTGCTGCTGCCATGCGGGGCGGCAGCTGCACCCAGCAGAAAGGAGGTGAAGTGGCCAGCTAGCGAGCTCGAGTAGAGGTGGTAGAGCACACCCACACCCAGCAAGCCAAAGGCCACCCCGAGCAGGAAAGCCAGATCCCCATCGGCGCCATGGCTTCCCAGTCCCAGCTAGGGTTGCATGCCTCCCCCCATCTATGCTGGGCCTCCTGCCCACCACCCCACCCGCCAGAGATCCCCTGGATCTCCCCCAACCCTGCCTGGCCCACACAGGTGTTCCCCCCATGAGCAGCATCGAGGTGTCCATGCCTACCCCAGCCATGCCCACCCAGTCTGCCATGACAATCGCAGCCATGCCCACCCAGTGGGCCATGCCCACCCAGTGGGCCACACCCCCATGTCCCCCCTGAGGACACCACAATGCCCTGGCACTTTGCGATAAATAAGTGGGGTTTGGGTTGTGGTTTGGGCACTTGGCCTCTAAAAGATTCGCCATCACTGATCTACCCTCTTTCAGTGTGCATTTATAATTCAAAAACTGCCTAATGAATGCATGAAGTATGCAAAGACAAATCCAGTCGTATGTTTCTTTAATGAAAATAGATTTTGCTGATAAAACCAAGAGGGCACTTATTTATCACCCTCCAGCCATGAATGCTAAGAAATGTATTTTAAAGCTTCTCCAAAGCTTCTGGAATTTGAGGGTGGGTTGGAGGCCCTAGACCAGAGGAAAGTCCCTTTACACAGGTGCAATTCTGCCCTTACAATTCACCCAAAATTCTATTTCCAAACTTACCATGTGAACAAAATGACAAAATGCTGTTTGTTATCCTACACAAGAAAATTTATTTATAGCAGTATATTGCCAGTGAATGCTCTGCTATTAATTTTTCTATTAATCTTTTATGTTTATGTTTATTTAGATTTGTATACCGCCCTATCTCCCTTACGGGACTCAGGGCGGTGAACAGGCGATAATAAAAATCACAATAAATATCTATTCTAAAATCAAATTAAATAAAGGCCTGCTCTAAAATACCCCATAAAAAACCTGTACTAAAACCTAATTAAGACTACGCCAAGCATTCACGCTCTTTGTTTTTCACTTGCGTTTTGAGTTCCAGTATAAAACTACTCTTTTTAATATGTGTTTAACTCCTTATTAGTATTTAAATATTCTCTCTCTATCATATTTTACCTCCTTCATTCTTACCTCTTCTGTTGTCATTTTGACAGGGAATGTTCATTTTAAGAGGTTTTTATTGGGGAAAAATAAAAGCTAAACATTTGTATTAAATCTATTACAGTAATTTCATGAATATCTCAAGCTACCAATTGTAGTGTGTTTTAAAGTGTTGATTACTTTTTATTCTCTTGTACTATTAGATGGGTACTTAAAATAGATATCTTTTATATTTTTGAATGGGCCCATTTATTAATAAATTGTAGGTGAAGGTTTTTCTATTTATTTTAAAAGACCTTTCAAAAATCCTAGCTATAAAAATATGTTAGTGTTTTTTTTTAAAAAAGCATATATCCCAGAGGAAAGAAAGTCTGCAGGCAGCTATCATTTAGCATCTGCAATGGGGATAATAACTAAGTCATTAAGTGAAGCAGTCACTAAGTGAAAAACCATGTGACCATGATTGTGCTATTTTACTTCAGCTTTCTTTTGCCTTCCACCTTCAGAACGATAAGAGTCCAAGCACTGAGGGAGGGGGAGGGGGGAAAAGGGAGGGAAGTTTCCAGAATTTGACTCATGAGGAAGCCTGTTATAAAGGCAAATCTTTGCCCTTCTGCCCTGCCCTTTGGAATGCTTACCCCAGAGCTGGGATAATTAGAAAGAAACAAATTAATGTTTGTATTTACATTAATTATGAAGGAGCAGATGGGCAAGAGCAGAGACATATACACACTGAAAGGAAAGGGCTGTTTGCCTAGGCATGCTTGCTGCAAGCCGCATAGGAACCAGACGAAGCCCTGAACAGGTAGTCATTAACCCCCAGTCATTTAAAATTATAATCTCAGATCTAAGCACGATGTCATGTGTCTGATTAACGAAACACTTAAAAGAACTTTCAGGCATTTTATTAACCTAAAAGCATTTATTAAGGTTACAGAGGTGTCAGTACGGCATGGTGGAAATGCTTAGATCTGAGATTATTTTCCGTTGCACAGACATTCCAGGCATTTTTCCTTCCCCTATTCTGGGGTCATGGTTCACATCTTCCAATTAACTTGGAAGATGTGATTTACTTCCAGTTTCTTTTTCCCGGGCTTTCCTTATTTTCCTCCCCTTTCACTGTTGCTTGATTTAACTATAAAAACACCAGACAGTTCTGCATATTGTCAAAGCAAGAATATACAGTATTTGCAGCGTTGACATTATGATGGTGTCGAACAATGGTGATTCCAACATATCTTTGGAGTTCCA